GGACTGGGTGACCCACAGAGGTCCCTTCCAACCCCGACCATTCTGTGATTCTGTGATTCCATCTGCTTTGCAGAGACCCGGAGAGCTCAGCACACCCGCACAGCACCCTTGGGCGTGGGGGTCCGCACTGGTTGCCCCGAACAGTTCATGTCCTGGGGTGTTTTTTGCCCTAAAAGCAGCTGGCGGCAACCCCCCGCCTTCGGAAGCAGGCGCGTTCCCCCTGTTTATCTGTGCAGTGGGACTGCTGCGGGGACAGATGAAACATCTGGCGACGGGAGACACGCTGGGCCCCAGCTGCAGGTGCAAGAGCTCAAAGAGGGCATGGGGATTTCTCTGGTGGAGGATCCTTTCGGTGTTCTAGCCTGTTTGTCTTGTGCTGGTACAAGGAAAATGTATTTCTGATAACAAGGGAATCATTTTGCTGCTAAATGCAATGGGAGTTATTCAAAATTAGAATCACAGGGAGGCCCCGAAGCCCTTCAAAAATCATTCCTGGGTACACAAAGGATTATTTCACATCCCAGAGGAAGCTCAGTTCCCGCTGCACGGACACAAAGCAGCCCAGGGTGCTACCAAGAAGTGAAAGCACTCTTGGAAGGACACTGCAGTCAACTGGAACAGCTTGAGGAGGTCACCCTGCTGCAGCTCAGAGACAGGTGCCACCTCCCATGTGTCCTGGGGGCCACGGACCTTCCATCAAGGTCCCTAGTGCAGGGACTGGCAGGGGAACAGATGTTGTGATGAGCGTCGGTGAACACCCGTATTTATTCTGATCGCCTGTCTCTCGTCTCTAAAGCTCACCCTGCAGCTTCAGACTGATTTTTTTTACGCTCTATTACAAGTTCTTTCACCACAAAAAAAGTGAACTAACCCCAAACTACGCAGAAAATCATCCTTAGGTGTAGTTATGTTATGAAAGACAATGCTTTTTCATGCTGTGCTCTGGAGCTGGGAGGAAAAACATGCTGACATTCAGCACGGAAGGGAACAGAAGCAATTCTGCCCTGGCAGCCCTGCTGGTTTCAGCGCTACTTACGGTAACTGCAGCTCCCATCAGGCCCTGGACAACTGCTTCTCCGGTTGACTGTACCTAGGAGACACAAGGAGAATGGGACCTTTTGCTTTCTTCTGCAGTTACACTCGTGGCCACCCAAACAGATGCAATGCACAACAAACACGTATGTGCTGCAGAAAAGGCACGGACAAAAGCCAAGCACTGCAGACAAGCGATAGCCAGAGACAAGAGACAAGGAAGAGGCTTCCTGGGGATGTACGTCTCCCAGCCGTCGGGCCAGTCTACGTGTCGTACCAGAAGACACAGGAGCATCTACTGATGATGAACCAACAGCATTTATGCAATCACCCGCCAGTACGAGGCAGTCTGCATGATCGAATAGCCAGGTCTGCCTGCAGATAGATTTGGGGAGAAGGGGGACGCCGCACGTAAACCCTGCCTGTAACGTTACCTGATTAGCTGTATTGCCCATATTCATGGCATCAGCTACTCTGTTCTCCAGGAAGCGCCAAGTATCCTCGAAGTCAGGGGATGAGTCCTGTATCATCACCAGTTCGGTGGTGTTGTAGACGCCGGTAAGCACAGCCCGACGAGTGTACCAGTTAAACTGCAAGGGCATGAAATAAGAGAGAGAGGGAGAGGAAGGTGTGACCTGAATGCAGATCGGCAACGCAGCTCACGATAGCAGACCGGAGATCAGCAAAGGAAAATAGCATCGAATGGCATATTCCTTCCCCACTTCATCTGTGCAGCTCCTCCCTGTGATGCCGTGGGCCGCCAGCCAACACCGACATCTGACAGCACAGCTGCTCCCGTGGCACCAGAGAGTGGTCACAAGAATGGGGTCTAAAACTGCCGAACAAGGTCCCACCACCTGCTGCCAGTTGCAGGCCGGCACCTGCAGCAGACAGCAAGGGATCCTCCCGTGCCCTGCCAGCCTGCATGCCTGGTGCCAGAGTTCACCTTTGCTTTACAGACCGCTAGCAGGCAATGCAAAGCCCCGATTCGAGATCCGATTAGAGGAGAAACGGCTGTATTTAGTACTGAACTTGAGCTGCAGTTCGCACCAGATACAGGCATGACGAAAGGGAACAAGCAGAGGACAGAACTGTGCAGGACCACACAGAGAGAGACCTTTCCCAAGCCCTGTCACTGACATACCAGTACTGCCCACCGAATCACTCGGTGCATCAGTACGCTGCAAGTAACTCTTCAGTTCTTCCAGCTGCACTCGCACCGCTGGCAGGCGAAAATGTCAACATTTTTGAAAACGAGCCTCCAGCTCCATTTGCTGCTATTACAGGGATCAAACTATTTGGCTACCTAGAAAAAATACTGGTTGTTCCGCTCATGGCTACAAAGCGACACAGAAACCAAAACACCGGCCTTGATTTTGAAAACAACAGTTGGCTCAAAAACTCCACTGTCTGCACCATGACCTGCAAGCTTTGACGAGGGGAGAACAAGGAGGGGTGCTGCCACTTGCAGCTGGATCTCTCACGTGCCTGAGACCAAACTCTCTCTGTTGATTCTCCTCCAGCTCCGAAAGAAATGCCTGAAGGGTTCTGTGAGTCATGGGCACACTCCACCGAGCTCCTGGTGTTGTGAGGAGGGCCGCACTGCGAGTGACATTACACCCCTTTACTGGGAAAGAGGGAGGGGTCAGCATCAGAGCTCCCCAGGAAAACTCTTGTGGCTGGTCAGAAGGTGCGAACAAGAGACAAACTGCAGAAGCTCTCCTACTCCCTGCATCGGTGAGGAGACTTTAGGAGCAGCCCAGTGCGGACACAGAATCACAGAATCACAGAATCACAGAATAGTAGGGGTTGGAAGGGACCTCTGTGGGTCATCTAGTCCAACCCCCCCGCCGAAGCAGGGTCA